ATAGCTGCAGAAAAGGCTAACATTGTTATCTTTTTACAAAAAACAGCTGAACATGAGAGGTTTTCGGACCAATTTTGTGTTCTCCATTCTTTAAGCACCGGTTCGAGCACCGTTTCAAAAGTACCGGTTTGGTACTGGTATCGGATAAAACCCAAACAATACCTATCCCTACCCTTTACAGCTTCATCCAACTTCAGCATTTCTCTTTCTCCTTTTTCTCTGACAACATTCAACATCACCTCTTTGATTTCCAGCTTCAAACCCATGATCCTGTATGACTCTCTTTACCTCCAGAACATTCTTCACAGAGTCTCCCTTCAAGGCTTCCCCTGATCCATTTTGCTTCCTATCTTTGCCACGATAGAACAGCTTAATCTACCTCTGACGCTCCTGTCCTTCCACCTGGTGTCTTGCACACACAATATGCAGTTTCCGCCTTCTTTCTCTCTGTCACATCGGCCAGCTCCCTCTCTTTACCGGTCACTGCAATTTTGTTGTACATGTACAATGACCATAAAGGGCTATTTTATTCTATTCTATAGACCCTTCATTTAAAGTTGTGACCGATTTAGAAATCATATTATTGATCCAAATGTTTGATTTCTGCCCTTTGAATATAATGGCAGTAAGTGACCCTTGTAGTAGTCTGATTGCTAAAAATATATTTGAATAACAAGATAACTGTAAATATTCAGACTTTAAGAGGCAGCCTGTTCATGTAGGTACCTCTAGTAGAAATTCTAAATCGTCACATTTTGGGCTAAGGGCTGTTAATCTATGGTGCTAGTTTCAGTCGTTATGCAAATGTACTGTTTATAAGGTTGGGGAAACCTTCAGTCAACTGAGACTGAAGAAATGTTTCCCCCACTGAAAACGTTACATCCAGATGAACAGAAATAAGTTTCTGGGGCTGATGGCGGGCTTTGTTGTTATATCAGCTCCAGTTTCCATTAGGTTTTCTATTTGCTTTGCCTTGTACTTCGGTCCAGGCATATTCAGGCCAAAAGGGGATTAGACCTTGTGCACAACTCCAGAATCCAGATCCGTCAGCTGGCCGTCCAGCAGACTGCAATAGTAGTGTCATTTAAAGACAGAAGCATGATTAGAGAAAAGAAATAAATAAATCAATGGCCAATGTATTAATGCAGTCTCTAATCCCACTGAGGGTTACGTAATGGGACTCAAGCCCCCACTGGAAATAGTAAATGCTGCTCATGTGACCATGTGTTTGTCTCTCAGCCGCCGCTGAGGTGCGATGCCGACGCATTCTCACAGGCACGACATATGCTGCACATAGAGACGCACAAACACTCTAACACAAAACCACAAGTTTCATTATGTGGGTGATAGAAATGAGATAGAGGGAGGCAGGTAACCGAGAGAGAAAGATAAGCAGAGGAAACACAAATGAAATCGATGCCGTCTGACTGCAGAGTAAAAATGACATTTCGCAGCAATGAAGCGCATGACAGATGATGGAGTTGTAACAAAAGGCGTCGTTGCATTCTGCTGTTCAAATGAACTTGGGATGTGGTGAAATTAACTTGTCAAGACCATCTCATTGACTCTTGTCTTTATAAACTATTGTGTGAAAGCAGCTTAAATGAAGAGATGCACTGCGAGAGCTGCTGTTTAGTAAAATCATGTCTCTCATTCCTGCCTGTGTTCATTAGAAGGGGTACGCTAGTCTAACTGACTCTCAGTCAAGAGGGACACAGAGCCCGGTGTTAGTTTTGTCAAATTCTTTAACACCTCAATCAGCACTAATTAACACTACAGCAGCTTACAAGTAGCACGCAGGAACAGAATACACAGAGGCTCTCCCTTTCCTATCCTTTCCTTCTCTCACTTTTTCACACATCCACATGGAGAGAGTAAAACAGGCATTAGCATGTGTGAACTGAATAATAAGCACCTCTTGTGCAGTACATCACGCAAAGAGAAAGGCGTAGCAACAAGCTGGACTTTGACTCGTTTATCCTTTAGGCAAATTCATCAGGATTCAAAGCAAATGACATGAATCCCGTGCAAAAAATTGTGATTCGGTCTAAATGTGTAAACAGGCGTTGCTGTGGGTGTTTCCTATCTCGCTTTTTCCTTGCAGCATGCGGCAAACTGACGGGCATCAGTGACCCCATCACCATCAAGACGTCCGGATCCAGGTTTGGCTCCTGGATGACTGACCCTCTGGCTCCTGAAGGAGATACTCGGGTATGTGGCACACATACACACAGTGTGGGCTGGGTATCAAAACTGCACTTACATAATAACTGCTCAGGTGTTATTTAGGAAGACAAGTCCATTAACTGTCAAGTCACTTCTTATTTTTTCCTTCTTTAGTAGATAAAGAAACCACTGGCTCCAGTTTCTCAAGGCTATTTTCAGATTTTTAGTAACACTTTATAATCCAGCTGCTGCTACTTTTGTCTGGCCAACACTAAAAAGCCCAGTATTGTTCAGATTACCATCAGAAAAAAAATCTGATAACACTTTGTATTACAGCCCATAAAGGCATAAATCTACTGTAATTAAATGGATATTGATATTCATATCATATTTACCCACAGATACTTAATAGGTGCACTAGAATAAGGAGGTAGCAATCCAGGTTTTCACAGGATACAATGAAGTAATTATACACTAAGTAAATTTAAGTAATGCTTAAGCAATGTTACGACACAATTTATTGTGTAAGTAACTGTAAGGACATCATAATTTCATGGCAATTTTTCTGAACAATAAAATTTAAAAAAATATATATATAATTCCCGACCTTACATTGGAAGTACACTGCACTTTTCAGGGCATGGGCCATATTTTGGAGTGGGTTAAACTTGGCAACCTTTCATGGGAAATTACTTACGCAGTACTTAAAAATGACTTTCAGCACAATTTGTGTCTCCTTTCCTGTAAAAAACTCATAATTTAGGCACTACTTAAAGTGTACTTGCATGTAATTATTTCTCATTACCTTTAAAATAATTAAATATTTTATTTCCCTGTATAATAAATTAATTTTATGTACTATTTTTGTAAAATTCTGACCTGTTAACCTCTTTATTCTAGTGCACCTACCTTTAGATAGTTGCATGTAAATATAGTAACATTGTACTTCCAAATAAAATACATAAAAATTTAATTTGATTGCAAGGGAATCATTTTTTAGTCGTACTGGGATTTTTATTGTTAATAAAACAAAATAGTAATATCAGTATGTCAACTTGAGCTAATGTGATTTATAAGTAAGTAGTTCCATTTCTCCATTATTTATATAAATGTGTGGTTCGTTTCCTGGTCTCTATTACTTTAGCAGTCGATTTCATCTGATTTCCCTTTGCAAAGTGCATCTTCTGCATGCTCAATAAATAGGCCTGCCTTCACTACTAAAACACATTAAAAATAAATACCAAGTATAAATCTATACGATTTGAACAGGAAGCTGCTTGGTTGACAAGAAGCTGGAAATAAAGAGAGTTTATTCGTCTGCTCAGCGTGAAGACGCCCTTTCTGCTCCGCTTTATTAGACGCATCAATAAGAGATGGAACGCACACGAGCAGAGGGAGTAAAAGCTTCAGCTGCACACCGCTGTGCATCTGTACAGTTACAGTTTCTGATGGCTAACGGTTCTGACAACACAGGCCACAGAATTTTTATGGTACAAACTTCTTTACCAGCAAGGTTGAAACTTACAGCTGACTACGATTATTTTTTAGCAGACTTACGGCAACTTCCTTTGGTTGAAACTAATACATTTTGAACAGAACCCATGAAAGATGTTCCTCGCTGTCAAAGGGCAGAGAAGAAAAAACAGAGTTTAATTGATGGAAGCAGACAGGCCTGCCCCAATTCTTTTCATCTTAAGGTTTTCTTACCTTTCCTTAGTACTTTTTTTTTGGCCCCGTGGAGTCCTTCTTTCTTGATGTGAATCATTTTTAAGTTAATCGTGACAGCGGATATAACCAGGTAGAGGAAGGCTTTAGGTTTATCAGTCCCACTGTGACCAAGGAAGTATTTGAGTCTCCAGTGGCTCTGGAATGAGAGCTCTCTGCCCACCTCCACAGGGGCCAGCAGGAAGCTGGGTCGTTGCAGCTGAGACAGGCCTTTTATCTGGAATGATGGGCATTATCCCTGTGGGGCCGGTGCATGCCACCCTGCGGCTGTCATCCTGACTGTTTGCATTCAGAAGTAGATGGATTTCAGCTTCGCCTGCTCCTCAAGGAAGTCTCAGCGCTAACTTAATTGGGATGCTTGTTGACGATGTGATTTGATTTATTCCGCGTGTGATGTGCATGCTCGATTCTCGAATTCACAAAGGCACGCAGGAAGGATGATGATAGGAATTTCTAGCTTTGAAGTACTGCTGCGTTTTTAATTCTCTCTCTCTCTTGTCTTGATGCTTAGGTCTGGTACATGGATGGCTACCATAACAACCGATTCGTGCGGGAGTACAAGTCTATGCATGACTTCATGACGTCAGACAACTTCACGTCCCACCGGCTCCCCCACCCGTGGTCAGGAACAGGTCAGGTAGTCTACAATGGCTCCATCTACTTCAACAAATTCCAGAGCCACGTCATCATCAAGTTTGACTTCCGGACCTCCTCCATCAGCAAGTCCCGGCAGCTTGACTACGCAGGCTTCAATAATGCGTATCACTATGCCTGGGGAGGGCATTCTGACATTGACCTCATGGTGGACGAGGGAGGACTGTGGGCTGTCTACGCCACCAATCAGAATGCCGGGAATATTGTTATCAGCAAGCTGAACCCCAACACGTTGCAGATCATCAAGAGCTGGACCACCAACCACCCCAAACGGAGTGCCGGCGAGTCTTTTATGATCTGTGGCACGTTGTATGTGACCAATGGCTACTCGGGAGGCACCAAAGTCTACTATGCCTACTCCACCAACTCCTCTACTTACGAGTACATCGACATTGCCTTCCAGAATAAGTACTCACATATCTCCATGTTGGACTATAACCCACGTGACCGTGCACTCTACGCTTGGAACAATGGTCACCAGGTTCTCTACAACGTCACACTTTTCCATGTCATCCGCTCAGAGGAACTGTAACCATGAACATGGATCGAACACCATAAATGCATATTGTCTGTAAAGGAAATCTCACTATATACAAAAATATATCTGCTCCAAGAGACTCTATGGCAAGACCATTCTATTTATGATATCAAAGAATTTCTGAAAGACTGTATCAACAGTGAATGCAAAGTAGAGTGAATGTGCATATGAAAAAATATCTAAAACTGAAGGGTTTCATTCCAAAATGTGATAAATTGATAATCACAAACAAGAAAAAGAAGCCGTATCTGTTATTATCACAGATGATTGTGTCAAAAGCAAAACATTTTTGTAAATAAAAGGTCGTAACATGACTTCTTAGTCTTAGTAGACTTTATTTTAATAGCTGCCATGATTTTGTTAAAGGGTCTTTTATTTTGGAATGAAACTCTTTAATTGTTTGCCGTATAGAAAATGACTGTAAAAGTAGATATAAATATATCAGATTTAAAAGAATAAGAACAGATGCCAAAAAAAAAAATCAAAACAAAAAAACACACGCCTTTTTTTATATCATGGAATATAAACCTGAGCTCATTCCTGTGGCTCCAGTTCTTCTGCAGAAATCCTCCCGGCTGAACTTTTCTTTTGGTCATTGGGGGTCCTGAAACGAAGACTGTTATAATAAACTGTTGGATCCCCGTGTCCCATGGACATAACGTTAAAAAAAAAAACAAAAACGGGAGGTCACTCTAGTCAGAAGACTTGATAGCCTAATGGATGCTGTGTGTCATATTCTTTTTATTAAGTACCGTAGCAAATCAGAAGTCTGTAGAGAAACAGAAAACATCAATAACAACATCCACTAAAAGACCTGAAGGCACTGACTGTTGACAGCGCTGTTGTTTAAGATGATTTCCCTGTGTTGGTGACTATGTGTGAAAAAGGCTTTCTTTGCATGAGTGTTTTCTATCACTCCCGTCTTCTGAATGTCTTTTTTGCTGTATGATACTATTAAAAAAGGTGGGCGGTAGGGTGGGTGGGGGAACAAGGTAGTATGCCTTTGGGATTTGGGGGTTTGCAGAGATATTTACCTTTTTCCTGCTTCCTTCGATTTTGTTCTCGTTCTGTTCATTTCAATTTCTTTGCAATAATGTTTTTTTTTAACGTTTTTGTATCTCTGTAACTGTTGCCACCGGTTTTGCCTCTCTATTTGTTTATTTGGACTGCGTAGGAGGAATCTATCTAGCTCACATCTCTCTGAAGTAAAAGAAAAAAAAGAAACAACAGAATGTATCTAGTATTGTATACTGGAAACCAGGTCCCTCTATTTTCAATCCACATCATGTAGTCGGGAAAGGGTTTTTTGGTTTTTTTTACAGGATAAATCCTGTCTCATGTCATGTATCCCCCCACTGCTCGTGAAGGATAATGCTGTTTAAATGTATACTCTTGCTGAGGACAAAAGCTTTTCACTCTTTTTGCGCTTTGCTGGACATGTGTTGTATCTGAGATGAGATAGTTAATGATTCGTGTCAATAAAATAGAGAAATCTGATGCTCGGATTGCTGCCTTTAAACGCTACAAGGTGCTGTGTATCAGTACAGTTAAGTCCCTATTAGACGTAGAATACATAAAATCGCTGGTTTCATCAGTCTGTTTCAAAATAGTTTAGATCTGACCTTTAAAAATAACAAAATTACTAAAAGAGGGGAAAATGTTTCAGCCTTTTTGGAAGTTAGCATACAAAACAGTGAGATGAAATGTAATTATTGACATGCTATTACTGTTTTATTGTGTTCTCAAGTGAACTGGGCAAAGAGACCAGAGTGCTCATTCAGACATGAAGCCGACATGTTCAAATGCCATCAAATTAATGGAAAAGAGTGCATGTCTTAAAGGTGCTTAAGCCTGTGATGGTTCACATGGATATAACTTTTACATTGCAGCTAATGCTCTTATTTCCTGCCTTGTAGGTTTTACTTCATTAAGATTACATAGATTACACAATCCCGCTTTACTTGGATTGTGGAAAAAGAGCATTTATGGACCCTGCTGTGTGTTTAGAAATCGTAGGCTCCTAAATAAACCACACACACACACACAAAAAACATAATCTTGCTCTTGCAAATGAAATGTGGTATTTGCAAGCAATAAAACTCATGGTTGCTCAAATAAATACACCCAAGTGTATTGTTGCTGCTAAACAACTTGACTATTAACTATTGTCAGCCATGTTTAGCTTGATTGTCACTTAGAGTCATGTGAATAACTAAATGCTTCACTTCATTAGGGATTGTGGGCATTCATTTATGCATGGCTCTCTGAATGTTCATCCACAGCATTTCTGTTGTCATTCTATTGTAGATTTGCTGCTGTGCTTTGGATTTATTATCCTGCTGCATGATGATTTCAAAGCTTTAGCTGTTGGACACATGCCCTTATATTTGACTCTAGAATACTTTGGTATGCAGACGAAGTCATAGTTGGCTCAACAATTGCAAGGTGTTCAAGTCCTGTCACTGTAAAACAAGTGCAAACCATCATCACTCCACCACAGTGCTTCAGATGTTCGGTTTTAACCAAACTTAAGCTGCGCCGCTGTGTCCATTATACAGAGAAGAGGCCTTCTCCTGGCAGCACTTCCAAACAAGTCCCACTTGTTCAGGATTCAACATGCTATCTGATGTAGCCCTTGGTTTTTAAACAGTTTGACCTTAGGGTGGTTATTGTTAATTATGTTAATATACGTGAATGCTCAAAGGAGAGCAAGTTTCACTCTTGATTAATTGATCATCTTCATTTAAGACGGGAGGCACGCCGTAGCATCAACAGGCAGTCAATGTTGCATTTCCTTTAAATTACAAGTTACTGTCAGCTCAAATAACAACCATCTGTGTTTTGTTTTTATTCACTTGACATTTCCTTTATTTGTTGGAATGTCTTCTTTTTCAAACAACACTGTCCACTTTATGTTCGCTAAGAATTTTCTCCCCTTCTTTGATCTCCACTCAATTTCACTTACCACTACTCCCATCCTCCTTTTTACTTCTTGTCCTTCAACCATTCTGTCTTTTTCCCGCTCTTTGTTGCTCCCACTCTCCCACTGCCTCTCAGTCCTCTGATGTTTCAATCAATGAATAAATGATTGCTTCTATTTTCACTCCGAGTGCTTGGCCAACACAAGCTGCTTTGTTCCCCTGAAAGAGTTAGAGATAGGATTTGGGAGACAGAGGGAGAAGGGAAAAAAAAGGCAGAAAAAGAAACATGCTCAGCGGAAGGTCTTGCAGTGTTTGACACGAAGAGCTGTCACTCAGGAGATGAATATATTTGCATCTTTAAAAAGCGATTGGTGTGTCAAGAGACATCGCTGTACTGCACATAGTCCCAGTTCCCCACCACAACAACAGAACACACGCCTGTGAACCTGACAGTTGCCTTCAATTTCATCATTTTGCATATTTGCTCTGTCTTTTCATTTCCACACCAGTGTAAATGAAATACATTTCTATTCGGTGACTTTTACCGCAATGTATTGTTTACACGAGACATCATAAGGTGCACTTGGCTAATTATCTTTTGCATACCTTGCCCTCTAAATGGCATGACCACTGCAGTAGCACTTTTGGGACTAAGGGATGGACACAGTGAGAGGTTTGACCTTGCTTAGGCCAGCTGTAAGGTGTTTTATTCCCCCAAGGACAAAACCACTTATCAGTGATAGAAAGATAGTCTGTGCGTGCCAACAGGAGGCTTGCAAAAAAACCAAAAAAAACGCAGAGCACTGCAATAACTTGGTTTTGTGGCACAAACATCTGACAGGTTGTAACGCTTGTACAGCTTTCCTATTCTCACATTACATAATTTACCCTTGCCACTGACTCTGAGGCCTTTGTCTCTACGGCCTCTGAATGACGCAGCTTTGTAAACTGAGAATGCTGATTAAAAACTATTGAAAACCTTCTATAAACTTATTTAAAAAGATGATCATTTGGAAGTGGAAGCACATCACTGAATACGCTTAATCCATGCGTCACCACTAGTGACGCATTCATCAGCTGACATATTTATACAGAAAAAAAAACTTGAACGGATGTCACCTGCACCTCTCAGTGTTACAGTCATACACACACACACACCGGCCTGTTACTGTGTGATATTACAAAAATAAGTTGATTTAGCTCAATAAGGATAATCTCACCGTGTTCTCATAGCAGACTGTCAAACACTGCTTCACCTTCGCTCACAGGTTAAGTTTAGGCACCAGTAAACTTTATGGTTTGGTTAAAACAGTAAAATATTTAGGGTTTTTAAAGTTAGGTTTACACGCTGGAAATAGCAAGTAAAAGTTAAATGTAATGCCATTTAGGTCTGTTATGAATCCATATGTGAGAAGCCCATCTCATCATTTCCATAACCCGGTATGTCACGTCACACATGCAAAAGAGATCCTGTGCATGTCTGTGAGAGGACAAAAATGGCACTTTTTCACATCCTAGGAAGAGTTTTATAATCCTCATCGCAGCTCAAAGGGACTCCTTTTTGCTTTTATCTTTGAAATGACATTGCACCCAAAATGGCAACTGTGTTGAATAAACATCTTGGATGGTATATTGTACCAGGTCATGTAAGATTAAACTGTCTACAGCAGAAATAGCCTTTTGTAGAGATCCAGCTGTTGGAAGCAATAACTGCATGTCACAACCTGCATGTGAATGTCAGTGTAAAGAACTGGACTTGGAAAGAAAAGGTCAGACATATCTGCAGAGTTAGTTTTACAGAGCTATTGGATTATAAAAAAGTATTTAAGGCTTCTCAGCAAAGAGCACTTTTATTTCATCACTGTGTCACACGGTAACTGAGATTTCACATAGTTAAAGTTTCTTTTAGGATATAGTAATCCTTATCTGTCAAGGGAGCAACATTTCCATGGCCTTGGACCTGCATCACATTCAAGTAATCACTGTGAGGTATGTGAGCCAATGTTTTGTCAAACCGATTCCTTTTCTTAAGTTCTATTCAGATTCATGGCACAGGCAGAAGAGCAAAACAGAAATAAAGCCTCAGTCTCACATTTTCATTGTAGCTGGGAGCAATCGCTGTGCTAAACTTGTTACAAGCCCGGTGTGGGTTGGAATAACAGCCAATAATACATCAATAGAGCCATAAAGAATAGGACAGAGACAGAGGGGGAAAAAAACAACAGCGATAAAGACAATTCATTTTAATTATGGTGTAATAAAAAGGCAAAGGAAAACGAACTCAGATGTCCCTTTTGTGATCCTCACTTCACCAGTTTTATTTACATTTGTGTCCTTGTCAGCATTTCTAACACCTGCTTTGCAACAAAGCTTCTCGATTAGCATTTTCTTAAATGCACTGTCCTCATAAGGGTGCACACACAGAGGAGAGTGTATGGAAATCAAACCATGAAAGCAAGCTTGGCAGGCTCTATATAATTTTCCTAATTTTCTTTATGTGCCAAAACATTTTTCAGAAACCATGATGCTGCCCAGATTATGTCCACCGGCAACATGCCCCCCCCCCCCCCCTTTTTTTTTCTTGTTTAAATCCAGGAGCTGTTACACTACTACACTGTCACAGACAGGTGATGGATGGGAATTGTTAAGTATAGAAAGCTTTGAAATTGACAACAGGGAGAGACAGAGGAAGACAGCAGTTTTGAATTTGTTGCTGAAAAGTTCCACCACGTGCTTAAACTCTGTCAAATCAATAATTCCCGAGAATCTGCAGAGGCAAACTCTTTTTTGAATATAAAAATATTGACTACCCTAACCATATCAAAGCATACTTAACAAAGTGCTTTGAATTAGCATAGCCATAAAAATCATGCTATCGATGCAAGAAAGACTATGAATAACTTTTCAGAATAGTCTTAAAATATATATTCACCTGACTAATAGCTTGCTGTATAGTACAGACCATTCAAGAACCTTGCGCTTCAGCTTCGGTGAGTGACCTTCTAGCATTTTAGACCAATACTTGTTAGCCAATATATGTATTTGTGCATTGCACCCATACAGTTTATGAATGTAGCTTGCTAACTAAGCTAATTGGTATTACTTCACAGCTTAGCACTCCACTCTTTCATAGATATTAGGTAGAGTAAACATGAGTATGGTTGAATCTTTTATACTGTCTGAAAGTTTTGTGGCGTTGTTAGGTGGCCTGTGCTGTTATACTATCTTTCGAGGTAGTCAGAGGCTCAGTGTAGCAGCTGGCACACCATCAGCTGGTGTAATTATTTCTAGTAAGTGCACAACTTTCCATGTTCATTTGAGAACGCAGTACTCTGTTTAAATTCATGCATTTTGCAAATACATGTCTAATGTACTTAGTGGTCATAAAGTTGCACTGTTGGAAGTACCCAAACTGAGACACGAGTAACTACTCCTGTTAAGATTACAGTCGTTCACATGCATGGCACATGAGTAGAACACAGGGTCTGTACATCACATTTCCTCAATCCTTCCAAATCTCAAGAAAAAAGTCTGCTTTGAAGCCTCTAAACCCCTCAGCGCGCCTGAGCTTACTGA